GAACATGGCACAAGGGGCTCCCAGTGGCACCGCTGCGCAGGCGTGCACACATCTGGGGGTATCACAAAATGCCTTCACACATAATACACGTACATCCAAATAAGCGTGAACAACCCTACCCATTCCAGCGACCCCTTATCGACCTCTAGACACAAGTACACAAGTACCCGGTGGCTAAACTTATAGCAACAGAAAACTGTCTTACTTCGTGCACCAACCTCTTGTCCGATGAGACATTTTATACACTTCAATTTCAGGTTTGATGTAAGGTAGACCATTAAGCAGCAACATTTTATTTTAAATTCAGTGTGAACCGACACCAACGTCGACGAAATCCATCCAGTATTTTCGGAAATTAAAGCCCATTATGTACATACTCATGCTTTGTATTTGGTCCAATCAACGCATACGAGACAGGATAAAATTTAATCTAACCGTTTTCACTACTGAGGAGTTGCTTCCAGAATACCATTCGAGTCCACAGACTTAATGACGAAAAAGTTACGAAAGAGAATAAAATGTTTTGTCGCTCTGAAAGATTCAATTAGAACTATTTACACTGCTTCGAGCAGACGTTGATTTGATCACTGAATACACACACTTTCTAATGTCAATTAAACTCTTTTCTTTTTATAAGTCGAAGTTAAAATGTCTACTGTCGATTTGAATTCACTGAGAATAATAATTGAACAAAATATACGGCGTTGCATTGCAGTGAGATTAGGTCGCCTTTCATTTACGTGAGTATTTCACTGTCAATCTTTTAAGCAGCAAGGCTAAGTGTGCAGAAACATGTTGTCATGGATATAGGCTTCCCTTCAAACTGAGAGAGAACTTCTATTTTTCAGCACAAGGCTTAACCGCCAAAGCAGGCCACAGACAACCTGTATATTGCAAATTAAAGCACAGGAGACTTAGCACACTACACCACATGAACGCAGGACAAATTGATTGTACGTGTATATCTTACAGATCGATTATACATCCTTCGGAAACGTGACAAAGTTAAAGCGTTGCGGAGCGACAGAAATACATCAAAATTACGAGTGTATTCACTGAGTCAAAATCTGAATATTTTCGGAGAAGCAGCATTCATTTCCCAGAATTTTACGTTTAATACCGAATAATACTACAATTTTAGTTGGGAGATCTGAGAACCTCCTGCAGGTGGGATGTGATGCCCTGTAGTTTTGTAAACAGGTTCCTCCGAAAGGCTGGCACCTACCTTCCCTAGCCCACAAACAATAACGTTTACGCTTTGGCGTTCTTGTATGAGTATATTAGTATGAAACTTGGCCTCTCGCCCAGAATACAGGCTCAGGGTGTTTAAGGAGAAAGAGAATGGACGGAAATGCACAGTAAGGAGCTTCACGTATTGTACTCTTCAACAATGTTATGGCGAACAGATCAGGGAGGATACGTGTAGCAAGCATGCAACTCATCTAGCAGTCTTAGCCGGAAAACCCGAAGGGAAGAAACGGTTTGGGAGCCGCAGGTATAACAGGAAGGATCATATTAAAACGGAGTGTGGACTAAACAAAGGTGGGACCAGATTTCAACTGTCTCAGGATTAGCTCCAGCGGCCGGCTCTTGCTGTCATAGTAATGTAACTACAAATTTTATAAAATATAAAACTGTCTTGACCAGATGTGCGAGTATCAGCTTCTCCTCCACAGAGTGGGTCATTTAATTTACAACACCGCCCGAAGGTAAGGAAATTAGCAGCGCTGAGCTGCCACGCTGTGCAGCCACGAAACCTGATATACACTTCCGCTCCTCGAAACAGCAACATTTTTATCAGAGACCAGTGAAACCCTCCTCAATTAAATGGCAGCTAATGTTTCATTAAGTGGCTTGCTCGGCCTTAATCACGCGGCAACATGAAATGAACCTCACAGTTTTACGTAAAGAGAAGTGACTCAATCATCAAGTGCCTAGAATTAGAATCGGAAGGTACTGAGCCATAAGAACAAAAACTTGTTACTGAATGCGATCCTGACACATTCACTTTCATACCAAAACTGGACGTTTCAGGAGTATCACCGATCTCGCGGTAAAACTTGAAGCAGCCGTGACAGTGCCGTGTGGCGCACTTGTGCCTGCCTTCTAGTGAAAGGAAGCCCCTTCGAGACCTGCGGTAACTGCGGGCCCTCCTTGACTGCTTCCGCCAGTTGACGGTGACGAGTGTACTGAAAACTAAACGTCACGGGTCACTTGCTGGACAATATTCTAGAATTTCTTTAACAGGGAATCTCATTGTGGAGACCTTGTGCCCGAGTTCAGTTTCAGCCTGTACACAGTTATACGCTCCTACCTAGTTACGTTTCACATCTGTGTTTTAATTTTCATCTCTATCACAAAGCATGCCCAATGTACACCTTATAGGACAGAGAAACGTTGCTACAAACAAACGTATATCACTTCACTAGAACAAGAAACGGGTAAAAGCAGTCAAGTGAGATTTAAACGGGGATACACAATCAAAAACGGAAACGAGTTGGAAGCAACGTATCTCTTTCCCGATGCACAAGATGGCCAAACTTTCTCGAAGTTAATAGCGCAGTTCCTCCGACTTTTCGCCTTCCTCCATTACAAGATAATTTAAAATTGTAGAACTGAACTGCCTTGCCTTCTCGAACATATTAACGGAAGCCGTGGTTCAGCCACAGCGTGGTTATTTGAGGTTCGCAATAACTGTGAATCGAATTCCAATAAATCTCGTTAACGGGTTTTTGTGGCTTTCATTAGGAATTTCGAATAAATACCTCAATTCGAGGTAAACTCTTTATCTCCAAACTGCAGCTGTTTTAGATTTCAATTTGTGGCCATGCATCTACTGCAACAGCTGGTATCAGAGCTCTAGACGAAACATGTACGTCTTGGTAAGGAATAAAATTTCATGACCTGAACGAAGAAAATATGAAAACAGCCAGTTTCATCTGAACACAACAAATCTTGGCCAATGATTCAAGACAAGACAAGACAAAACCTTCTTCAGATCCAAACTCTGATGTCTTAAACTCGATCTCAGAGGATCCCGCCTCATGACGGGAGGTTTCAAATATACAAAAAGTGTTTGGTCTGTTGGCCCACTTAGAGGGCACTTTTAAGGCAAAAGGAACTTGCACACACGTCACATCTACAGGCCTGTCATGCATGCAGTCGCTCTCACGGAGTCTCGGGCAGAACTCAGCAAGCCTTTCCCGCTATTGCGCTGGCTTCTCGACCTGCAGTTTTGACGCTGATATTGAGGTAATGCATACAAACATGCTTATAACCTAAAATGAAATACTGTTGCTAGGCAACGGGTCGGTAAACACATTCTCGCAACACAAGCGCACGCCATAATAAGACATCCATTGCTAGGTAACTGGCCATTAAACACGCATTCTTGACAACAGAAGACGGTGTTTTCCGTGGGGTCCGTGTCGAGGAGTAATAAGAGGGTATAGTCAGAAGACGAGACAGTCGAGTCGAGTCGAGTCTTCGGAATTGGCAGCTGCAGAAATGCCAAGAAATGAATTAAACCGTGACAAAAAGACTCCACGTGTGATTTGAAGTTACAGTGAAACTGTGATAAATCGGTTGCCAGGATACGGCTAGTGAAGACTGAGAGCCATTATGCATGTGTAACGGTGAACTAGAAAGTGTGTAGAATAGCGATAGTGCTGTATTGTCTGTAGTCCCGAACTGTGTGAATGCATAAAGTCCAATAAATCCAATCGTCCAATCCCAAAGCCGGTTATAATGCACCCCTAAGCGTGACAATACGTATACTTCAGCTAGTGGGTTAGTGCGTTGGGATCGTGTGCAGGCGGTCATGCTATCGAATCTTATGAGTCAAAACCATTTTTATTGCCTGTAACCTCATATGCCTTAGGGGTATTCCTTGTTACTACCCAAGTACAAATTCTATCTGTTGGATAGATACCATGTCGCCATGTGTATACCTGTTGGTTTATAAACAACATTCATATATAATTTGTATCTGTTGCAGTCAATCTGAAAGACAGATTTGCGTCTATGCACGCCACAGAAAGTGCCATATGTTTCGAAGATCCAGCACCACACACTACTTCAGCAGCGCTAGTGTCGCTTAGATCCGGACCGTACTTCTGACCTGACTGAAGGAAAGAGAAAACTTACGAGATTGGAGTGGCACCCAAATTTCATTGGTTCAAAAATGAACGGGGGCACACAAATTCCGCGGCCATCTTATAAGCCTCATTTTCCTTAAGAAATGTAAGGGTAAAAAAGCGCTGAGGTTACCTCTAATGGTATCCTCTTTACGCAAAATTTAATAGAATGTTGTCATTCGGTTCAAAAGTTATTAGGTGAAAGATATCGCCTGTACTACTGGTTACTCCCCTTTTATGAAACCAGTCCAGAGAAACAAACACCCACACCAGTCGGTGTGAAAGCGTTTTCAAGCTCAAGCGTCTGCCTCATGCACTGGAGTGCACACATTGCGCTGTTCTGATGCGCAAGGGACGCGACTCAGTTAACATTCTGCGCTCGCTACCGCAATCCAACCACGATAAAAAAATCTGCCCGGCAAAATTAATGGCCATCGGATTTCTTTTATATTTGTCCCTGAGGTTCTCTCAACTCTCAGTTCATCAATCTTCCCCTGCCCCTTGTTCCCCTGCGTACCTCGAGCGGAGGCGCTGATCTGCTTTTTGTGCAGATAACCACTGCGGCCATTGGTAATTGCGTTCCTTGATGACCTCTTCTGCAGTAAGTATATGGAGCACCACACTACAGAAAAATAAAAGCCATCAAAAAATCACTCCCGCAAACAATAAGAAGGAGCAGTCTTTATTACAGCGAAGTACCTAGACAGAGCTGAAGTGGAGCCCAATTATATGTTGTGGGTCGGTCCGACTCTACCACCCGAGTCCGTGCTTACACACTTACACACACGCACACACATGTGAGCGCAACAGAAATCAACAAATTAACACAAAACAAAAACTTCAGAAGCAATCATAATTACTTGCCAGATATGAAGAGCACAGTTGCTTCGCTGGAATATTCACACGTCAATGATGGCACCATTGCATTCGGTCAGATCTGAAAAGAAAGTATCAATGTGATAAGGACTAATCTGATAAGGACAGTGACTGCAATTTACACAGCAGGTACATCCCATTCTTACATACAGTTACAATATTAGACCTTCAAAAGGGTGCAGCTGACTTCACAGGACTGCAACATCTTTTCAGACCCTGAGGGTCTAAACGATCCTCTGAAACACCAGTCAGTTTCTGTCAGAGTACATGGCCTCACGTCCTAGAACATGAGAGCCTCAGCTGTCCTCAAAATACGGCACCTGTACCCGGACTGGCAGTACTATACACCACACGTGTACCTGGCGTGTCCTCTGTTCTCAGCTTCACTTCCAGAATTGCTGAACATGTCATACTTTGGGTCTACTTAAAACTGCAGGATAAACTGAAGTATGAATGCAGGTGACTTGTGCCGGCGTAACCTTCATATAACTGAATCAATCGACTATAATTGTAAAGAAGTGCCAATAAACCCAGTCATCAAATCCAGAACCCATTACTGTTAGTCACGGCAACCCTTACAGCTGACAATATTTTAAATTTACTTCAGTGACGACAAGGAATCTGGCCGTCAGGAATATCAATCAATGTTTTCAAACTTATTCGAGTCCCACCTTCTGAGACTAGTAGATATATACAAGCGCCTTAATGGGCACCAATATGGCACAATAAAGACAACAGGAATCGTCTTTATTAATTTGTTTAGCGACTTAAGTCATTTATTATGCTGATGTCATATCATACTTATATGCATAATGAAAACAAGCTTCGACACTCTATTGTCTCAGATATCAAGCGCGTCGTTAAATAAGCTGAAAATATCTGCATTCGAACGGCGGCATTCATTATTTGTTTGTCATACTGTACTTGCATACTAATTAAGCTAGTACGCGGCAAAGAGAAACGTTAAGAAATGTTAGGGCACGACTTGCCTGCCTGTAGCGCCTGTCTGCTTCTGGTTGTGCTCCATATGAAATGCAGACCTCACGGCGTATCTATTTACATACACAACATGTAAAACGTTTAAGATCACAATTTACTCACATGCCACGGCTTCAGGCAACGGCGCCGTCATCACGAGATTTACTGCACTTCTACATCTGTGGACTGTCCTGTGATATTTACACGTATATACAGTATACTGTATCGTGTACAGCCGTTGCTATGCAATAACCGCGAGATGGCGAATAAACAACGGTGTCATGCAACCAGTTTTCCAGCCAACGTTCCCGCTGCAATGAAAAGTCACGCAACAATAGAGTTATTGTCGGAAACGGTGTTTTCTACTCGGTCCGTGCAAAGGGGTTATACGGAAAACACTCCCGAGACCCCGTCCACCAGCGGCTGATCCGGGTGGATCAGAGGATGGAAATGTGACAAGGCACCACGGAACAGCATAAGAGGCCCTGACAGCACAGCACAAGCTATGCGGGCTTCAGGGATGCGGTCATGAAGAACCGTCAGTCGAACAGGGACAGCGGGAGAATCAGGTCAGGAATAAATTTGCACGAGGAACCCTTTAAGGACGGACGCTTGGGAAGAAACGTCGGCCGAAACCGGAAAGCATAAAGGAGAACCCTTGAAGGAGATGATCTCCACACGATTCGACCAGCAATACCTCGACTGCTGTTTATAGGACTCTTGGATAGCAACGGGTGTACTCGTTATGCTGATAATTTGGCGTGAATGAAATGAGAGTGAGATAAAGCGAGCTGCACTGATGGCCGTATAAGAATGAGATAAGTTGGATAACATGGATTTGGAACTTTTAAAGTCTGAGAAAGGGAGGAGTCCCTTATGTTTGGGGGACAGGATGCTAAATATATACTGCGAAAATGTTGGAAATTGAAGCGTGCAGCGCAAAAACAAGCTGTGTTCAGTTTGGCCGAAATGAAGCTTCCCATTGTTTCACATACATACCAAGTGCTATCGGACAGTTCCCGGACTGTTAGTGTTGCAACTGCCTCAATGAAAGAAGATGAGAGGGGAGTCCCAGGTCACACTTCCACAAGCCTATTGCATCGGTCTGCCACGTGACCCCGCGCTGTAAACATGTATTGTTTTTACACGAGTCCTTTTTCGACTTCGTGTTTCGTTTTGTCTGCGATGGATGGTAAAACAGAGCAACGTGTCTGCAGCAATTTTTGCGTGAAGCTCGGTAAATCCGCTACCGAAACCCTTGAAATGCTTCGTGGGGCTTTTGGAGAACATCCATTAAGCCGGACGACGGTTTTTGAATGGTATTCATGTTTCAAGGCTGGTTGAGTGTTAGCTGAAGATGATAAACATTCAGGGCGAACAAGGACCGATAAAATGACAGAAAATGTTGAGAAAAGTCGAGAACTCATCCACGAAGACCGTCGCCGAACAATCCATGAGCTCGCAGACACCGTTGTGATCGGTTATGGAGTTTGACAGATCTTAACAGAAAATTAGAACATGCCCCGCACTGCTCCTCCATCACGGCAACGCACCCGCCCACACTTCCCTGAAAACCACAGTTTGTGACTAACATGGTTATCGTTCCCAATCCTCCCTACTCGCAACACTTAGCCCCCTGTGACTTCGCTCTGTTTCCCAAATTGAAAATGAAACTGGAGGGACGACGTTTTGAAACAGTGTCTGACATCCAAAGGGGAGCGCAGTGACTTCCACGGGGCTTTCGAAGCGTAAAAAGAACCGATGGCATTGTTGTATACGTTCCCAAGGGGACTGTTTTGAAGGAGATGGCAGCCAGAATTGAGTAAGTTAAGCCAGCATTTCTTTTTTTTCCTAGTCCGGGAACTTTCCGATAGCAGCTCGTATATAAAAACTCCTCTCAAGTGACCAGTTACACTGTTACAGTGAAAATGGAAGGATACCGAGGTGTGGTTTAAATGAGCTTTTAGACAATCCCCCGCCCCAAGGTTGTTAAGATGGAAGAACTACATCCTTTTTGTGCCGGACTCTTCAATTCCTCCGTTGCAAATGGTGAGTACAAGAAAATACTGTAATAAGCAGCGCAGATGTAAATACAGAGTTATAATACAGCAACTATTTTTGTTAAAGTTCGATGTTACCTAAATTGGGTAATAATGTTAATAAAAGGCAATCCTCGTTCGAAGTAAAACTAGAAATTGATGGGAGAAAAGAGTAAGGGGGGTATATGTGGTTGTGGTGGTGGTGGTGGTGGTGGTGGTGGTGCTTGTCATGGTGGTAATAATAGCAGCAGTATTAGTAAAACATAAAGTTGCTCCTGTGTTAATTAAGCACCACGCTGAGGACGTACGAGGGGGTGGAGGTGTGTGGTCAGCTTCACGCTCCGACCGCCGAGTCAGAGCAATGCCGCTGTTCCCTTCAGCCCTCAAATATAAAAAGATGGCGCTTGCTCTTCTGCATTTTCTCGCATCCTGCTTTCATACGGCAGGCTGTGACACTCAATGTGTAACAAAAAGCTGTAATTAGCAGTTCTCGGTTAAATAATGTTTGAAACGCGGTCTTATACTGTGTATCTGCAAAACTTCAAGCAGCTAACCTCAAGGCTAAATAAAAATGGAACAGCATCTAATATTTCTGTACCGTTATACCGTCGTCATGCCCACAAATACTGGTTGTATACTTTTTTCTTTCTCTACGGCTCTACAGCCCTTTGTTGGACCTTGGCCGCCTTTTCAGTTCCTTATTCCTACACACAATCGGTAGAACTCCTTGGACGGGGGATCAGCCCGTCGCAAGGCCGCGCTACCTATACACAGAATAAACGCAATCAGACTTCAATGTTTTTTGCACAAATTACTTCCAAATCGCACTCCGCTTTTCTTCAAACTGTACAATCTTCGGATTAAGATTTTTGGCGTTCTCTGTGTATACTTAATATACATAAACGTAGGGCGAAGAATTACCACATTTAATAATAATTAAAAGCTGTTTCTTTTACTCCGATCCTACTTGAAGAAAATTAAACTTCAAATATTGCGCCAGAAAAAAACAGTCTGTGAATATCCATGGTTACAATCACATCCCTCTGGAAAAGCAGAGAAAAGAAAAATGGAGGAAATTTAGGAAATGGCTTTTGGAACAAGATTACTCTGAGCTTTCGAACAAGAGATATAATAATTTCGATTAGTTCATGGCCGAGGGCCAGAAGCACGTGCATGTAGTGAACAGTGTATTCACAGATGCTTACCGACAATAGCTTCTAATACTATACCTGTGGCTTTCAGAGGGTAAGACGCTTGTACATTCAACGTTCATCCGGTGTCGAGGTTAAGAGCACGCGAAGCTGCACCTCTATTCTCCCACACGTCTCAATTGCGCAGAAGTAAAGTTCACCTTCAGATCGCCAGGTGTGGCCAGCTGCCTGAACTCAGGGTGGCTTTCCTATGAAAGCAGCAAATTAGTTACAGGGTGCAGTGAGGTGTCTGATTAGGAACATTAATAGCAGACTGAAGCACCGAGACAGAAAATTATGTCCAAGTTCAAATTTATGGCCCTGCTATTGGCGTCCAAGGATTTCAATCAAACGTTTGCTCCACAGAAGCAAATTCCAAATCTTAAGAAGCAACGGAGTCAAGTCAGCGGTGTTTGAGGAGAACGACGATGATGGACGACGAGGAGGAGTAAAATATCCCTCCAATTAAACAATTAAACAACATGTCATTAAGGGATATGGATGCGTAGAAGTGAATCTCCCCGCTTTAGCCTCGACTAAAGGCTGGGAGTCGCTTCATAATACGGCTGCCCTGTGACCGCAGGAAGAGGTCCTCTTGTTCTCTATCTGCTATGGGGAATTTCATGGGCCATCGTCAGTCAGTGACGTACAGAACTGGCTATGCATGTGTGGGCAGTGGCCCCTATGGGCCCGCAGATTGTGTTACCTATCCTACTAGGAAAAAATATTGCATTGAAAATTTGTAATATTTTACAGAATCTAAATGAAATGTATGTATGTATGTTATAATAGTGCAACAAATATTTTGGACTAAAAACTGCCTATACGTATCTATACTCACTGCACAGTGGCGG